GCCGCTCAAATAATCGAATGATATCGGTATTTTAACTGATCATCTAAACGAGTTGATATAATTATTTTTGACAGATATCATAGGAGATGACATGTTACGAGTATAATTAACCTCTTCGTTCTATAAAAGAAAAATCAGGTATTATATACACGCGTGAATTTCTTTTAAAAATTCTCCCAAAAGCAAAACCCTAAAATAGGGATGAGGTGATTAGGGATTGGCAAAGCTGGAATTCCTACAGTGGGGGAGGGCCTATCAAAATGAATATATCCAAAACTAATAAATATAACAACCCTGCCTAATAAATATTATTCAATTGTAAGGACTTCTGAGAAGTAATAACAAATAATAATTAATGGTTTTGTTATATTTTTATATTTGTTTAGTTTAATCAGATTATAAAATAATTGATTATAAAATAATTAGAAATATATTTCATTAAATTTTCTTTATTATAGATTTTTTTAAAAATAAAATTATTTTTTAAAAAAATTTATGCATTTTTAAATGAAAATAGAATTCTTCAAAATTAATTAAAAAATAGGGAAAACTACTCATTTGGTATTCCAACAAAGTTTTTTTTTTTGGTGTAGAATCATACCTAATGTTATGCTTTTCCTAATTTGGTCATTAGTTATGACCATTAACGGAATAAAAATGGTGATGTGATATGATACAATAATAATTTTAGTCCTTAAAATTTATGCATTCTATCAATTTTATCTTAATTTAAAATAAATCAATAAATCCTCACTATTTAAATTTTTTTATCTATTTGAACATTATTTTAATTTAAAATAATTTAAAAAATCTAGTCCTACAATGATGAAAAGAAATAAAAAAAAAATTGAAGAAGTCATAAGAGGAATGAAAACTTAGAACCGAAGGTCCTCAATAACCCTCAACATTATGTTAGATTTTGATAAAAGCATATAATTTATTTAATTATCACATATCTTCACCTGCAAACATAATATATTTGAGGTAAACTGTTTGTTCTGGAGATGTTGGTCTCTTCCTAGAGATTATTATTTGTTTTCGATAATAAAATAATTGGCGATACTTGAAAGTCATATAAAATATCAGGTATAACTAGATGATAAAAATGAAAAACGTAATAAATAAGGTACTAAATAGATTATTTATCCTAAAAAATATGAGATAATCCATTAAAACGGTAAAAACTAAAACTCTATTTCAATTTCAAGACAAAAGCACCTACCAACTCCGCTTTAGCTTTAATTTCAAATTCAAAGCAAAAATGTTTATAAAACCCTGTTTTAAAAACTATGTAACCTCTTAAGATCTTTGTTTGTTCTTTTGAAATTTCGAAATTGGATTCTCAGTACTAATATCATACTTATCTACTTTAAAATTAAGTTTAATCCCACATATTTCTCTATTACATGGCGTTACTAAAAATGATGAATTTTTTAAGTAATCGAAGTTTCAGACTCTTTGTTAAATTTTAAATTAAATAATAGGTGATTTTGTTATAATTTTATAAAAAAAATATAAAACAAAAATTACAATTATAATTAATATATTAATAAATAGTCAATACATTGTAATTATAATAATAGGTGATTCGACTTAAATAATAAGTTTATGTTGGGAGTATTAACTAATAACCACGTTAAATTGATGACAACAACCTTTATCTTGTAAGGAAAAAATTGTTAGTGTAAAAGGCAAAGGCAAAAAAACGTGGGCGGTTGGAAAGTACAACTACTCATATTTTAACTGTTCAGTTTTTGACACTTGGAGATCTTTCAGGACAGTCGAATCAACTGGTAATTTACCTCGGGTAAACTACACTGATCATCCTTTTCAGTTTTGGCCTGTTTTTTTTTTGCCACCATTTTCGAAAAGGTAATATTTTAGTTACCTACCTTATCGATTTGTTACATTTTGATCATTTCATCATTAACTATTGTTAGTTTGATGGCGTTATATTGTTAGTTTAAAATTTTAATTTGACCTCTACATTTCACACAAAATACTAGTTTGATCCTAAACTTTATATTAAATTTTAGTATAATCTTTGAACTTTATATAAAATATCCATGTAGTCTTTAAATCTAGTCAAAATTTTCGTCATCACTCACCACCGTCGTCAATCATTATTGACTATCGTCATCGATCACTATCGATCATATCGACAACTATCATTTCACCATAAAGTATATTGAACTCCTTCAAATTTCTTTAAAATAAACTATAATAATAAATGTATTGTTATGTTACTTTAAAATAAGGAAAATAAATGTCTATATCTTCATTATAACATTTTTATATTATAATAATTATTTTAATTTATTTAAATTTTGATAAATTATATATTACATGTAATTTATTTTTATTTTCCATTATTTTAGTTATTGATGTGTTTATATAATATTAAACTATGAGATTAATATCTATACTGTTAATTATAAAAAAAAACACCTACTTCTATGTTGGCATTGATACTGCTGCGTGTCGTGCCATTAGTTTAACGCTTACATAAAAGTTAGCCGCAGTTAGCGCTGACATATGTGGTCGCCTTAATCACCCAACATTTAATTTCTCAATTTATTTGACGGGCTCCTCACCCGACCTTGGTGTTTTTACATGAATATCACACTCGTACCCATTAATTGCCTATCAAATATTTTCTCTCATAATATTATTGATATAGTACATTTTCTGACAAAATAGCAATAAAGCGCGGATCACTATCCTAGCTTTTGCAGGGTTCTGTCCGAGTTGACACCACGTAAGCGAGGCACGAATCGTCATTTGCGCCTTCGATAAACCTCTTACATATACGAAAGGAGCGAATCATAAAGCGCACATTAGAAATGTTGACATGGTGCCACAAGAGAGGGACACACTTTTCAATATCCATATCATCCCTTAAAACATTTTAAAAAAATGCTTTAAAAAAATAAAATTACAGGGCTAACATAATTTAATACATGTTAGTTCTATGAGTTGAAGAATTTAATAGAGTTAACTTATATAGGTATATTTGAGTGTTTAGATTATGTTTCTTGATAATGTGAGATAAAAGTTAAAAGGTGCATTCCTTAACTTTTTTTATCTTTATATATAATGAACGTACTCATGTAAGATCAAATATAAGATAAATTATATTTGAACGGTTCAGATGTCTTAAAATATTGTATGTTCTTTTGTTTAAACTCTAGATTATGATATAATTAATAATTTTCATGTAAGTTATTTAATTACATGTTTTTGTTGTATTAATTTGAGATGGAATAACCTACAAGATGTTATTCTTTCTGAAATTTGCGAGCTTAAGAGTCTAACACATCTGTAATAAGCACCTGGAAGTATTTTTTTCATGCTATGATAATCAAGATTGTTGATTCCTACTAATCAAAAAATTGATTAGGTATCTGACCTTCAACAAGTTTAAATGGAGATCCCAAAAGAGTTAACAATAGTGTATAAGTAGATTCATTATATATATAGATAAAAAAAGTTAAGGAATACACTTTCTAACTTTTATCCCACATTATCAATAAACATAACCTAAATACTCTAATACGACTATATAAGATAACCTCATTAAACTATTCAACTATTGGAACTAATATGTATTAAGTTACGATGTTAGTCCCTATAATTTATTTTTTATTTTTTAAAGCATATTTTTTAAAAATGTTTTGAGGGATGATGTAGACTTTAAAAGGTGTGCTCATTGAAATGTGCATTTTCATGTGGCGTCATGTTAACATTTTTCATGGAAGACGCGTTTCATGATCCACGCATTCTATATATATTACAGGTTAAGTGAAGGTGCGAATGACGATCTGAGCCTTCCTTTACGTGGCGTCAGTTTGGACAGAACCCCGCGAAGGCGTGGATGCTTATCCGCGCTTTATTGTTACTTTGTGAGAATGGTGCTATATTGATAATATTAGGAGAGAGGGTGCCTTACAGTTAATTAATAGGTATGAGAGTGATATTTCTGTAAAAACACCGCCGACCTTACTAAATCCTAATATTTTTGCTTTTTTTTTTTTTTACATTCAGTTACAAGATCCAAGGGTTCTTATTCAAATTACAGTTTCGAAGGGGCCCACATATGCATTTAAAAAGAAGGATAAACTACAACAGTGGTCACTAAACTTTATTTTTTAATTTGGTCACTAAACTTAAATAATATTATTTTTGTCATCCAACCCTAGCTTCTATTTTAACCAATCGGATGATGATAAATGTTATCACATCATATTGATACATATTATTAATGAAAATTAACCACGAGTGACCAAAATGAAAATATAAACTAAAGTTTGTGACTAAAATGAAACTTTGTAAAGTTTGATAACGATTTGGTTATAATTTATTTTAAATAGCAGCTATTGTTGTAATTTATCCTAAAAGAAACCCACTTGGCTAAGAAACCGAAACCAATCTGCCTTTCTGACACAATCCCAAAATAAAGAATGAACCCAAGGGAGGGTAAACCTTTTCAATGATTCCGAGAAATGAAAAAGACACCCAACAACCATCGCACAATGGACACGTGCGTAACTAGCAACCCCCCAAAATTCAAACTTCAAATCAAACCCCTACTCTCACGTGCCAGCACCAAAGATGGGTCCCAAGATGTTTGTTAAATTATTAAAATAATATATTTTTATTAAAATATAGCTCAAAAAATCTATTATTTAAAATAAGTACTCATTTTATTCTTTTAAAAAAGTGCCTTTAATTGTGTAGTAAATTACATGAGTTGTCATATAGGCTCAAGTCTTCGTCCTATGTGATAAAAATAAATGTCATTTTAAAAATTAAAACTTTTTTGATACAATTTTAATAGGAAATATTAGAAGTTGATAAATTATAGAGAAAAAGAAAAGAAAATGTAAAAAAGGGAAAGCAATGGATCATACAACACACAAAGTAACATGTATTTATTCCATTCCATTCCATATATGGTATAGACATGGCTTCTCTCTTCTTCCAATAACAAAACACTACACTTGATTACAATATCAAATGATGATTCAACCTCCTCATTCTGTTTTCGGTTTTCATCCCTACTTACATCTCCATTGCTATGATCCAAAAGCTTATGTATAATCCCATTCTATAAACGAAATAAAAGGGGGCTTATTTTTTCACATCTACCATTTGCTGCTGCTATAGTGTATATACAGAAGAGTACAAGTGTGATAAATGGCGGCACTTCTCGCGGAAAAAAGGTTGGCCATTCTCACACGTTGCTTTTTTGTGTATGTGGGGGTAAAATATATAGATAAAAACTTGAGTGGTTAATATTGTATGATTAGACCTCCCATTGGTGCTCGATGGGGAATCCCCTTTCTTCGTTTCCCACTCCGGTAATTCACCGATGCTGGAGGTGGTGTTGAAGGACTAAAGCTTTGCTCTTTGTTCTTCTTCTTCACCTTTCCATGGCTACTGCTGCTGTATGAATCCTCAGAGTCTGATGCCATGGCTAACTGCCTCTTATTCTTCTTCTGGAAGTTATTGGATGTCCCAACAATCTGCAATTTCGTATGATCAATAAATATGAATGAGCAAATCTCCAAACGAATTAAAGAGAATTTGAACTTGGAAAACTATACCTTGCAACCGAGAGAGCAGAATCGGAAGGAGTCGACAAGGCTGCGGTCGCAGACCTCACAGGTATTGGTAACACCTTTTCCAGGCCTTGGCTGAGGCCTCTCGTTGATGAAAACAACCTTTGCACTGTTTATAACATAAGTCTGCACCCCAGAAATGTCCAGGTATTTCTGTATCTCCGATACCCTGATCACATCATGGTATGAAGACCTCCTAATCTGTCAATACAAACCAAATCGCGTTAGTAATTCCAAATAAAATCTGGGATTTGGGTAATGACTGACCATTAACAAACAATGCCTCCGGATTTTCGTATTTTATTTTGTCTAGTCTGTCAAACAATGCAAGAAAATGCCTGCTTGGAAGCGGAGAAAACGTGTGGAAGGGCGACGTTTGAAAGTGCAAACACCTGCCCCGAGCTTTTTTTTATCTTTTCGGTACAACTTAGAAAAATTGAACAAAAACAACTCGGTTAAGAAATGTGCTTTAGATGGAAACAAACTCGATCGAGAAAGGACACAGAATTGGAAACCTGAATGCCAGAAAAGGGGACTGAACCAACAGGATTCCCCTTGCATCCTATTAAAGGAAATGACACAAATTTTAAATGAAATAACAAAAAAGTTAAAAAAGTGTTTTTGAAAGAAACGATGAGAAAAACCGAATCAAGATGAAGAAATGAAGGGAAAGATACTGAACCTGAATGTAACGATGATCCTTATGATAAGCGAGGCAGATAGAACAGAGAGCGCCATTCATGCAATCTAAGCAGTACATATTGCATTCGCTCTTGGGAGAATCAGCATGAAGCTTGCACTGAACAAAGAAATGCTCTCTTAACAAAGCGGACAGCCACGGAGGCCACCTGTTATCTTCTTCCTCCGGCCCACCAGCTCCCTGTGGAAAAGCCATTGCATTAAAAACACATTTCAAAGAAAACCCAGATGAAGAAATCAGCATAAAAATGTAAAAGAAGATACCATTATTCTCCAGTTCTTGGGCTTGATTTCACGCACTTTAGATTCTTGATTTTCGATCGCCAGCTTGAACTAAAAGAAAAGAGAAAACCCAGAGTAAAAGGCTTGAGTGAGGGAGAAATAAAAACGCAAATACTTGGAAAAGGGAAGAGGTCCCGTTCTTATCTAAGCGAAGTCCACATCCGAACCTAAATCCGAAGCTAAGCTGAACGACGAGATGATAGATGCGTTGGGTGCACGGAACTCACCTCTTCTTTCTTTTTTTTATATTTTCATTTCATTTTCACTGTCTCTTTGTCATTTATGTCGTAAGATTACAAGTGATAATAAAAAAAATTTCAGTAAATAAGATTATTAGGAATATTATATTTTGTGTTTGGTTGGTTTAGTAGAAATGTAAGATTATCATGTTTGGTTAAAGGAATAAAAGATTATTGGAATGTATATTTGACCAAATTATTCTTATTATATATTTATTTTTTAACAAGTTGGAAAATATTTATATATTTTCTTTAAAAATTTTAAATTCATAAAATTTATATAATTTTTTTAAAAAATTGAAAATATAAAAATGTTTAATGAAAGGGTAAAATTTTATTTTAACCCCTGGACTTCATATAAAATTTTAATTATAGATTTTTTTTGTAAATTTAAAATAGTTTAAGGATAAATTTGTAATTTAACTTTCGTATAATTTTTATTATTTAATGACAGAATAAATATATTTTTGAAAAAAAAAATTAAAGAGCATTTTAGTCCAAAATTTCGGTAATCTAACAATACCTAAGGAAAGGGAGGTAATGACATTCCCGGTAATATATCCCAAAAATCCACTATTGGTAATGTAAGATTACCGGAAATGACATTCCCGACCAACCAAATGGGAGAATATAGATTTTATTTCTATGAGAATCTCACATTCCCCCAACCAAACACACCCTTAATGCATTCAATTTAATCAATTCTTTTACCTTTATTATATCAGCTTTTTTGGGGGACATTTTATTTTTGAAGTTTCAAATATCAAGCACTCTATATTCAAACATAATTGTTACATTTACTTATGGTTTTATCTATACAAAATATAATTACAAATATTGTATTAAATTTTCTTAAAATGGTATTTGAATAATTGTTAATAAATGCTTGTATATGGTAATTTTATTTGAATGATAAATTTTTTTAATGTAAAATATATTTAAAAAAAATTAAATGATTTAAGAATTTTTTTAATAATCATCAATATTTGGTTCCCTGTCAACTAATTCAAATCAATTACGGTAGACGTTTGTTATGCAATACCTCCAATCAAATTTACTTCATTCTTAACATCGTGATAAACTTTTGACCTTATTTACTAGAATTAGTGCCTCTACGACAATAATGTTAATTATGACTAACTTGATATATGAATTTTATACAAAATATATAAACACTTATGAAACTTAAACAAAACATTAATTTATATTCTAACTTCAAATATCATTATCTTCCCTTTCAAAGATATGACAATTACAAGCTAAAACGTAAACCTAGATTATTTTCTATAATTACACCAACATATAACACATATTATCCTCTAGATTCTACTTTACATTATTATTGTAAGAAGGACACCTGAACTTTAAGTTGAAAAATGTTTTTTTTTTAAAGTGGGTTTATTTAAATGAAAATCGATAGCACAATATACTGGGCGTACACTCTTAACATATATATATAAACAGACGATACACACACTGAACATATTTATAATGTTGCAGTAGATTCTTTAAGTCGTCATCAAATGCACATAAAAAGGAAAAACAAATATAAAAAATTACATTACAAACCATTCCTTAATTTTATATTTAAATTTCATAATGTTTAACAAATTTTATGTAAAAAAAATATGAAAAATAAATTTAGGGTGAGAGTAGGACTTTCATTGAAAAAATATTTAAATTTTTATTAAAAATATGAAAAATATTATAAAAATATAAAAAAAAATTATTTTAATAAAAAATTATTCAATTATAGTTCGACACGTGTTATGTACAAATACAAAATATCAACATCATCATAAATTGTTCTTATTTACTCACTTTTTAAATTATACATGAACTAAAATCCTCCCTTTCTTGAACGTCGATAGTATTAATAAATGTTTAATTTTTAAACATCCTTTCGGTTACTAAAAAAATGTACATTAACTAAGCCATTCTATCTCTTAAAATTATATTATATGTTTTGTTGTTTATGCTAAGCATTTATTCTTGAGATATGTTTTTGCAATAATCAAATATGGAAGAATACGATGCTCAATAAATATCTAAAGATATTCTCAAATAATTGTTCTCAAGTTACTGACATTCAATAGCAGCTGAATAAATATCCAACTATATATGACTTTGAAATTAACCACAAATGAAATGATGTAAAATGTATATTTGACTGACCATTTCAATGTTAAAAACATAAATCATCTACTATTGATATTATTATGGTTTATCTTGGTTTAAATTAAATTAAAACAGTGGTTAATTCTGAATTGAAACTAATTTTTTAATGAAATAAAAAGGAAAAAAAACAAAGCAAAGAACTTTCTTGATTATTTCGTTTTTGTAAATGTTTTTTTTTTCTTTTTTATAAAAGCCTCTGGGTCATAATCGCTATACATTTTATTATGAAACTGTGGGACATAGTTTAGGGATGACCGGTGCAATTACCTCAGATGTAAATATATTACAAAATTTTGAAAAGAAATTAAAATTACATGATCAAAAGGATAAAATTTGGAAAGTTTGAAACCATGTGTTTAATTTTGTATATTTTAGTACTTATTAATAATTTTAAATCTTTAAATTATTTCTTTTAAAGTATGATATTGTTAAAATTAATGACAATTGTCGATGATTTTAGCTTGGTTTCAGTTTTTTTTAACTACAAAGACCAAACTAAAATAAAATTAAAAGTATAAAGATCAAAATAAAAATAAAATTTTTAAAAAAGTATATAGTATAATTATATGTATTCAAATTTTATAAATAATGATATATTTAGTAAAAAAATTGAATTTTTAAGTTTTACAAGTTAAGAAAGAATACAAACAAAGATTTAAAAGTATTGATATAAGACTAAAAGTTCAAAATTAAATGTCAAAATGATATTTTTTAAGACAAAAAAATCGCATTTGGTCTCTTTTCGTGTCTAAATTTTGAAGACTTATATGGATTAAATAAAATGATATAATGTCAAAATTAGTCTCCAAAATTTATCGAGATGATTATTTTAATTTTTATTCTTTTTTAGGGTATTTAAACCTTTAATGTTTCAACTTTTGATCCCGATTGTTCATGATGAACGAAAAAGTATTAGTTGATTAACTATTAACACATGTTAACGTGATATTTTCTTGTGTACTTATTTAATTATTGACATGACATATGTCATATTATTATTTTGAATGATATGATATATATCACATCATCATTAAGGACTAAAGTACTCTAGAAAGAATAAAAACTATACTTAACATACAAAAATGAATTTTAACTTTATGGGGAAAAATCACTTCAATCAAACATTTGAACACAATTTTTTTTAACTTAAAGTTTTACTAAAAAGAACAATTTCTAAAAGTTCTCATTTTAATTTTTTTTCCTTATAATTTTAATCAACGTAGGGATATTTTGTTTTTGGGCCACGTTGAAGTTTAGGATCCCCATTCCCCTTTCTGGTTTGGTTTAGTGTCCATATTTCCGAAGCTTTGCAAAATCCCATGCTCCGGGCTACACTATTACGTGTATACTTCGGCTTTGACTAGATGGATAAAAATGTAAAAACCATTTTTTTTTCCTTTTTGCCTAAGCATTTTGAGCAGGCCAAGGGCAGCATTGGAATAATTTGAAAGTTTCTTTACCACTCCATTACAATTGGTTTGGTTCGTTTAGGCAATTCACTCCATGCATATATATTCATCACTCGACTAAATAAATACCATTTCATTCGAAGTAAGTTTTGCCTACTTTTTTAAAAGCTAGCATTTGTTGTAGTCTCTGCTCTCAAAATATCCGCACCAATTACCACTTCTTCTTAACATGTCTTTAACGATTAAATGGTTTTGATTTATGTCTTATCTTAGGTTAATATGATAATCCACATATAGAGATTTTATTAACTTTTTAACGAGCTCGAGGATATACTTTGTAGAAGGTGGTCCCTCTATTATAGGAATAAGTTCAAGTTAATCCTTCTAAAATTAAATATATCAATTTGGTGTATATATTGTTAGAGTCAAATAAGGTTGGGGTTCAAATCACGGTCGCATGCATGTCCTGTTTACCGTGATTACGGGCATAGCAAGCGCTATTACGGGTGTCGCGGTCATATAATAACGGTCGCAAACTGCTATTTAAATCCCTGATCAGGCCTTCTTTTTCAAATTTAACATTTATTGTGTACAAAATGTCCATTAATGTTTAATAGAGTTAATATTTTTACAGCCATTATATTTCTACACAAAATAATTTATTTGGAGTTGAATTTAAAATAAATAATAATAATAATAATTACCATTGTATTTTTTAAACAGTAAATATGAAGAGAATTATCATTGAGAAAAAGGATATGAAAGGATACCTACAAAGATAAAATCAACGATTACTTGATCCACGAGCCGAAGAAGTAGAATGAAAGAAAATATAAAGAAAAAGAAGAAGCTCAGCTATATCCAGATGACTGGGAAAGCATCGTTAATTGGATAACTCTATGACTATGGCTGGTGGTGGTGTCATTGTCGTTGGTTGACTTGCCATTTAGTAGTTGTTTTTTCTTGCATACAAGTTACGAGATGATGTTAAACACTAAGCTCATAAGTATTTTTTTACTCTCCTTTATTTCATAAAAATTGAGGGTGGAAGCAGTGCATTTCCATACATGAACGTTTGATTAGAAGAGTATTTGTTATTGTTTCAGTTGTAATATTATGGCATATCATCAGTAATCAAGCCATTTCCAGTTGACAAAGGACCAAAAACAGGTAAAGCCATTCAGATACTTAAATTAATGCATTATAAAGCACATGATTGGTAAATTGTTCTACGCTCGAATTCTCTATCCCATGTTGATGTCGTGAAGACCGTAATTCTCTGTATG